GTATTGGAAGCCATGTGAGGTTATTAGTTGACCAAGGGAGGAGGTGTAGATGGAGAAGAGGAGGGGTCCAAGGACAGAGCCATGGGGGACCCCTACAGAAAGAGGAAAGAGGAGGGGAGGAGTTAGAATTGTAGGTGACACTGAAGGAGTGTGTAGATAAGTAGGATGAGAACCATGACAGTGCAGAGTCTTGTAGGCCAAGCGAGTGGAGTTTTTTGAGGAGCAGCGGGTGGTCAACAGTGCCAAAAGCAGCAGAGAGGTCTAATAGCAAGGAGTAAGGAATAGTGGCCATTGTCTTTAGCGGTTATTAGGTCATTGGTGAGTTTTAGGAGGGCAGTTTCAGTGGAGTGTTTGGGGCGAAAGCCGGACTGAAAGGGGTCCAAAAGGTTGTTATTAGCGAGGTGGCAACTCAGGCGGTTGTAGATGAGGCGTTCTAGGAGTTTAGAGGTGAATGGGAGTAAGGAGATAGGTCTGAAATTATTGAGGTTGGTAGGGTCCAGTGAAGGTTTTTTGGGTATTGGGGTGACTAGTGCATGTTTGAGTGGGGTAGGAAAGATTCCAGTAGAGAGGGAAAGATTGAAAATGTGGGTAAGAGAGTCTAGGATAGAGCAAGAGGGTGACCGAAGTAGTTTTGAGGGAACAGGGTCCAGGGGGCAAGTGGTGAGGTGGGTGTCAGAGAGAAGCTTAGTAACCTCCTCTGTGGTGACAGGGTCAAAAGAGGAAAGTAACAAGTGTGATGGAGGATCAGGTACTATAATAAAAGGGGCAGTTGATTGGACAGTGGCAATCTGATCTCGAATGGTATCTATTTTGTTTTTGAAATGAATGGCAATGTCCTGAGCAGTGAGTGAGTTAGTGGGTGGTGGTGGTGGAGGACATAGTAGAGACTTGAAGGTAAAAAAGAGTCGACGAGGTCTGGATGAGAGTGTGTTAATGAGTGTGACAAAATAAGTTTGTTTGGCAGCACGGAGGGAGGAGTTATATTTTATCAGGGCACCTTTGTACAGGGTAAAGTCTTGCAGAGACCTAGTTTTCCGCCACAGTCGCTCAAGAGTGCGGCTTTGTCTTTTTTGATGTTTGGTAACTTCAGTTTGCCACGGTTGTAGCGGGCGTGGTCTAAGTCTGCGTGTAGTGAGGGGAGCCAAGGTGTCTAGGGAGGATGAGAGTGAGTTGTTAAAAACAGAAGTAGCAAGGTCAGGGCAGGAGAGGGGAGAGATTTTGTCGAAGAGGGAGTCAGTAGCAGAGTGGAGAAGAGAAAGGTCGAGGTGGTGGAGGTTTCTCTGGGTGACAGTGTGCCTTGTATATTATAATTATGCCTTGTATATTATAATTTATGATTTCATGTTTCAAACTTTATCACACCCGGGATGTCTACTGGACTCTTGTTTGGACAGATTTAGGTGAGTTATTCCTAAGATTTACTAAGAATTACAGGCCTGCAATATAAAACAACAAATTGCCATGAAAAACAATGTACCGCTTTGGCATGCTAAAATCCTCCATAATCATACCGCCAGGGAGGTTAAAGCCAGTGAGAGTAGTCCTCAAATGATAGAAGCCATTCTGTGATTGAGTCCACCGGTGTCCAGCCATAATGGAAATATCTGGTTTTTAAAGGATTAATTAATTAACTGCTTATATAAACGATAACATGAAAAAAACACTACCTTTAAACATGAGACCAGATATTTAAATCAGGATTTACTTGATTATTTAGCACACTATAAGCTTGTTTAATGATTAACAGTTTAGATTCAATGGATTAGAGGCATTAGGCAGAATTCTCCATTCGGCCTGAGCTATCATTATATACCCAGCATCACATTACATTCATCATGTGTAATAATTTACACGGGCTGTACAATGCAGTGTCATAGAGGCTCCAGTATCACAGACCAATTTGTCATGTGGAGCCAATTTAACTTCCATGAAAGAAAAAGAAAACTAATTAGATGTCTTTAGGTCCTTTTGATTAAAATCATATCCACTCTGTGTTATTATTCATACTGATCCTTTCACATCTCAATTTGTATAAGAAATACGGAGAACCAGCAAGACTGTTTGATTGGACTGTAAACAGGCTGTCCACAGTGATAAGCAGCTTGAGAATATTAACACTAATTAATAAGGGTATCTGCTTTTTTTTCCTATGCTAAATATCAGAATTACTGAGTGGGAGCAGTCAGAAAATGCATGTGTCAGAGGTAGCTTTGCTAGACATTTAATTAGTGCTTAATATAGCATATCATTAAATCTCTTGAAGCTGAAACATTACTATTATATTTCTAGCAGTCTGATGTACACCTTTACTTTGGTTCCTATAAAATCATGTATAGTAATGATGGACTTGCATAAAGAATGGCCTACATTCTTTACATTCAACACTTGTCATTCTTGCTTGGCAATTTTGACTGTTATGTATACAGTACTTTCTTAATAATACTTCATATTCTCTATGTACTGTTTACCTCATTAAATTGACAATTGCTGGCTGCATTTAGGAATATATGTTCAAGTATGTCCGAAAATCAAGGAAGGAGAAACAACATTTTGTCCATGGTGATATGAACAGTATATATGCTAGCAATCAGTTTTCAACTATAGATACGTTTAGTGTTGATTAATTGTACTCTGGGCTTCTCCCAGTTTATTCATTACAGGTCATTATATAGGACTGACAATTTATGCAGCGTTATACATAGTGCACAT